TATGTTTACAGCCAGTGATGAAAATCCTCGGATTGTAAAGATAAGTAATCAGAAACATTTTTCAGTATGTCTGCAGCTGCAGCTGGGGTATTGGTGGTGTGAAGTGCTGCGTTTGTGCAGCTTAATTATGACATTGTACTTAGTTAAATGCACCAGTCTGCTTCTGCTTTGCCAAACACTTTCAGTGTGTAATCATGCTCAAGTCGGACTTTAAAGAGCTCATTACAGTGAGTTTTCTAAAGAGCAGCTTATTAAACACAGTTACCTAATAAGCATCTTTGGTGGTGCAAATTGGTGAAAATGGTAATGAGTCTGATTAGGCCGTGTTTCAATTACGACAGCTTTTACTCCCCCCCGTCTCACTCTCCCCTCCCCAAAGCAAGAAAAAAAAAGGAAGAAGAAGAAGAAGGAAAGTCCAGTCTTTAAGCTTGGGAACCTCCTGGAAGGCATTTTGCTTCTATTCCATCTCTCCCTTCCTCACCCTCTCACCCGTACACACATCCCACGTGCACATACACAGAAAAAGGGAAAAGAAAACCACTCTGCCACCTCTGTGCTTCCTTTCAGCAGCATTGTAATGAATAGAGGATTGTGCAAGCAGTGGTCCAATTTGCGCACTAGGAAATTGGATGGACAGAGTTGAGGCCCACTCTTGTCTGTTTAAAAACGGACCTGGCTTCCAAATTAATAGTTGCCAAAAAGGTCAGCATGTCTGTTTCATCCACGATGATCGCTCAACCAAAAATTAAACACTGCGACGCAAAATGCCCCCCCCCCCCCCCCATCACCACACGTCACACGGCTCCAGGTATAGCTGCTTTTCTGGTGAATGATAAGTGTAAAAATCTAAATCAGGATCGTCGTTGTCGTCGTCTTCCTCCGCTTATCCGGGTCCGGGTCGTGGGGGCAGCATCCCAACTAGGGAGCTCCAGACCGTCCTCTCCCCGGCCACCTCCACCAGCTCCTCCGGCAGGACCCCAAGGCGTTCCCGGACCAGATTGGAGATGTAACCTCTCCAACGTGTCCTGGGTCGACCCGGGGGCCTCCTGCCGGCAGGACATGCCCGAAACACCTCTACAGGGAGGCGTCCAGGAGGCATCCTGACCAGATGCCCAAACCACCTCAACTGGCTCCTTTCGATCCGGAGGAGCAGCGGTTCTACTCCCGAGTCCCTCCCGAATGTCCGAGCTCCTCACCCTATCTCTAAGGCTGAGCCTGGCCACCCTACAGAGGAAACTCATTTCGGCCGCTTGTATCCGCGATCTCGTTCTTTCGGTCATTACCCAAAGCTCATGACCATAGGTGAGGATTGGGACGTAGATCGACCGGTAAATCGAGAGCCTGGCTTTCTGGCTCAGCTCCCTCTTCCCCACGACAGATCGGCTCAGCGTCCGCATCACTGCAGACGCCGAACCAATCCGCCTGTCGATCTCCCGATCCCTCCTACCCTCACTCGTGAACAAGACCCTGAGATACTTAAACTCCTCCACTTGAGGTAGGACCTCTCCCCCGACCCGGAGTTGGCAAGCCACCCTTTTCCGGTCAAGAACCATGGTCTCAGATTTGGAGGTGCTGATCTTCATCCCAGCTGCTTCACACTCGGCCGTAAACCTACCCAGCAAGAGCTGAAGGTCAGAGCTGGATGAAGCTAGGAGGACCACATCATCCGCAAAAAGCAGAGACGAGATTCTCCTGCCACCAAACTCGACACACTCCACACCACGGCTGCGCCTAGAAATTCTGTCCATAAAGGTAATGAACAGAACCAGTGACAAAGGGCAGCCCTGGCGGAGTCCAACCCTTACCGGGAACAGGTCCAACTTACTAAGGCCTAGTCCACACGTAGCCGGGGTTTTTTGACAACGAATATCCGCCCCTCCAAAAACTTGCATCCACACCACCTCATTTTAAAAACAAACTCTGTCCACACGTACCCGGATAAATACGTTGTTAAGGACATCCCAGACCTGTAGGTGGCAGTACTTCCCTTGTTCTTAACCTCGTCCTTCGTCTGTGGTCTTCCACAAGGAGCAGTAGTTCCGCTTGCAAAAACAAACAAGCAGAAAGCGCTTGGACAATTGATGGATCGGGTAGTGACAGAGTGCAGCTCTGAGGACTTCCATGCTGTCGGCTAGTGTAAACACAGGTCGCACATGTGATGTCAGCATTTTTTTGTCGCAGAAAGTGACGTTGCGGACCTTAAAACTCCGGTTTTGTCTGTCCACACGCAGACACCCAAAACGGAGAAAACGCAGATCTTCACTTTGGCCGGAGTTTTTAAAAAGATCCGTTTTCGTGTGAAAAAACTCTGTTTTCGTGTGGATGACAGGCCAAAATGTAGAAAAATATCTACGTTTTGGCAGATCCCCAGCTACGTGTGGACAGGGCCTAAGTCGGACCTGTTCCCGGATCATGCAGAATCGCCGCTTTGAAATTAGTGATGACTTAAATATCTAATAATCTGAAATTAGAGCTCACATATGGCATGGGATCTTTAATTGACTTTTGGATCCCGAAAATGTGGTAATTTTTAACAAAATAATATACTTTTGATACTGTAGATCAGGGGTGCCCAATCCTGGTCCTGGAGGGCCAATACCCAGCAGGTTTTAGTTTTAACCCTTCTTCTGTACACCTGAATTCAATCAGCAGGTGATTAACAGGCTTCTGTAGAGCCTGATGGACTGCTGCACAGGTGATTCAACCTCTGAATCAAGTGTGTTGGAGCAGAGAAATCACAAAACCTGCTGGATACTGGATTGGGCACCCATGCTCTAGATGGACCCATAAATGAACCAACAAAGAAAGGTCCAACAAATGCCTTGTTTGTTAGTGGAATTTGAGCTTGTTTCTGAGGCTATCTGAAAACATTCCACTTGTTGACCACTCTGTAATTTGAAAGAAGGACAAAGAAACCTGTAGATGCAGTTTGAAAGTTTATATGCCGATGGAATAAAGCACAAGATTTACTGAAATACAATTGCACCAAATCCGTGTGTGTGTGTGCAGGACCATCTGTGAATATTATTTATTTATATTTTAGCATCAGTTTATTATAATGATTTACATATTATAATAATCTCAGAAGAGAAAAAAAACATTTGCACCAGCTTTTACCACTGGCTATCTGTATTCTTACAGATTCAGTCATCTATCTATCTATCTATCTATCTATCTATCTATCTATCTGTCTGTCTGTCTGTCTGTCTGTCTGTCTGTCTGTCTGTCTGTCTGTCCGTCCGTCCGTCCGTCCGTCCGTCTGTCTGTCTAATAATGTTTTATTCAGTTTGTGCTACTTTTTAGACCATGCATTAGCGAGAAGTCACACTTCAACTTAAATATAATTTATCTGCTTTGATTAAGCAGGTTTTCTTGCTTGCATTTTCTATACAAATGTGCACATTTACAAAAAGAAGTGCTGTATTTTGAACGTCTTGGGTTATCTCCTGCTTTATAAAACACCTGATGCTCAGTGAGCTCAAGTACACTTTGCAAGTAGCTCCTCTTTGATTGTCCAAAGTGGCAAATTGTTCAGAGAATTTGCAGCAATAGAAGAATCTCACTCTGTGTGAGCTGTGTGCAATTTTGTTATTGACAAAAAGGGGCTTGAGTGTTAAGGAACTCGACTGAATGATTTTTACAAAATCCATTATCCTGCTACTCTTACTGCAGTGCCAAAACCATTTAAGAATCTTGGCTGACAATACAGTCATTATCGCTGTTTCCACCAATATTGTTTTCAGTGTGGGAGCTTTTTTCGTACTATTTTGTAACGTCTAAAAAGGCTATTTAGTGTAATTACCTCAGAATAAAGATTAGCATTAAAAATCTGACTTTTTTTTTTGGAATATTTTAATAAAAAGTCATGAAATTATTTTGCCGTTATGCATCATGGTTTTAAATAATTTTCTTATTTCCTTATTTTTTTCCACCTCAAGCTTATTGCTTCAGTCTTTTTTTCCCTTTATCATTAGCTGGGATGGTTGACAACCATGTGAGCCGTAGCCCAGATCTCTTTGACTAAAACCTTGTAAATTAACACAATTAGTGCAGCATCATCCTGCTAATTAGCTGCTGGTGTCTAGTGTGGCGGGTTGGCAAATGGTTAGGAGGGAGTCAGAAGGGAATCCACATACAAACACTGCATTTGTAATCTGCCTCTGGACAGAAGCTGTTTGCTGTTTGAATCCTCAGATATCGACTTAACCTACTGAAATATAAAGCATCGCAGTCTGGTGTCAGCTAAACAAAGAGAGCATAGCAAACGTTTGGATAAATGCATCTGCTTGTGCATTTGAGTATGTTTTGCTCAGATTAATGTTGGTGAGAGACTCTGTCCTCTATCTCAGATTGTTTTGAGCTTTAATCCTCAACAGTATCCACTCTGATCCAACGCAGTACAATCTCCAATCATCCCAGAGGAAAAGATCCCAGCACAAGAAAAAGAAAAAAATGAACTTTTATTTGCAGATTGACTTAAGGATTTAACTTGATTATGTCTGTCATTCAAGCCCTTAAGGCCTCACAGAGAGGCTGAGCAAGGCTGCGGAGAAAAAAAGACAAGTGAAGCATGTTTTTTTTTTTCCCTCTTCGCTCTGTCGGCTGGGAAGCAGTAGGCAAACTCGATGTGGATGTAATTCATGCTGGGCCGAGGGCTTTGTGTGATGAAAGCAACAGAGCGCTGCCAAGGAAGATTGCTTTGCTGCACTCCTTCGAGCAGATTTGAAACTGTCCCAGAATGCTGCAGATGAGAGTTGGATTATAGACTGACCTGCAATGTCTGTGTCATTCTGCTCTGCATTGGGTGGATTATAGCGTGGTAACCAGGTGTTGGGTCCAACATCATCATGCTGACCATCATGCATATTCTGACAAACAGAAAGCAGGATTCTGAAACTGTTTATTTTCTTTTAATTCACAATGACATAAATGTTTACTGTTTATTTTATCACTGTTGAAAGCTAATTTTAAATGTGTCTTCTTTTATGCCTAATATCTAGGTCTAAAGATGCAGTGGACCCCGGAGCATACACAATGGGCAGAACAACACTTTGACATCTCATCCACTACTCGCTCGCCAGCACACAAAGTGGAGGCCTACCGGGGGCACTTACAGCGAACATACCAGTATGCGTGGGCAAATGATGACATCTCTGCACTGACTGCCTCCAATCTGCTCAAGAAATACGCTGAGAAGTACTCTGGGATCCTAGAAGGCCCAAATGAAAGAGCCCTGCTGTGCTCCTACTCTGATAGCACCACTGGACTCATGAATGGACGGAAGTCAGAGAATGATTCCTGGCAGGAGGGGATTTACCCAATGAACTGTGCTCCAGATGTTATATCTGTGAGCAAAGCTGGGATGACAGCTGCCCTCCCCCCTACAGACGTGTCTGCTAGCCTAGGAAGCTCCCCAGGGGTGGCCAGCAGCTTGTCTGAACCCAGCTACTCCAGCAGTAACTGTGGGAGTCACTCAGCCACCACTCTCCACTCGGGCCTCCCCTCTCAGGAATATACTGCCAGTTACAACGGTTCGTACTTGCATTCTAGCTACAGCAGCCAGAGTACCCCAGCCCTCCCCTCCCCACACCCCTCACCGCTGCAGAGTGCTGGGCTTTTACAACCGCCGCCACCTCCCCCTGCTTTAGTGCCGAGCTACAATGCTGGGTCTCCAAACCTTCCCAACTATAGTTATCCTCCTACAGGGTATGCTTCTCAAACTGCGGTGGGCCCTGGCTATAGCCCAGGGGGAGCTCCACCCCCTTCAGCTTATCTGCCATCTGGCATTGCAGCTCCTACTCCAATACCTCCCTCCACTCTGCCTGGCTACACCTACCAGTCCCATAATCATACACCAATTACACTCACACCTTTGAATGGCAGCTCATCCAACTCATTAAAACGGAAAGCTTTCTACATGAGCGGACATGGAGATGTGGACTCAAACTATGCTAATTTCAACTACAACCAACAGCGGTCCTCACACAGTCCGATGTACAGAGTAGCAGACAGCAGTGTCTCAGACTCAAGCAGAGGCAGTGGCTTTGAAAGAAATGCAGAAACGTCATCTGTAGCCTTCAAGCCAACCAAACAGCCTATGTCCTCGGATCAGCAAAGAAAATTTAATGTACACTCTGGCAGAGCACTAACTCCTCCAACGTATGGATCGACCAAAAACTCAACAGGGGAGCTGAGAACTGGTGAGTCCTACAAGTTTGGATCTCCCATCATGAGTGAGCAAACTGAAGAGCACAGGCAGCACCTCTCCCACTCCCTGTCAGGGCCTGACATAGCTTCGGCTGCCTCGTCCATCCATGCTGCAGAGGAACAATTAAAAAACAGCGATTCCAACCTGGTGGAGATGGTGAATACGGAGATCCTTCAGCTGGGATCGCCAGTGAACTGGAGTGACATTGCAGGTCTGGAAATGGCCAAAGCAGCTATCAAAGAGGAGATACTGTGGCCTATTTTACGACCTGATATGTTTAGTGGACTTACCACATTACCTCGGAGCCTCCTTTTATTTGGACCTCAGGGAACTGGTAGATCATTGCTGGCTCGTTGCATGGCCAGTCAGCTGGGGGCTGCCTTTTTGCGATTGAACAGTTCAGCATTGGTTACGAAGTGGCTTGGAGAAGGTGACAAAATTATCCAAGCTTCTTTTCTTGTAGCTCGCTGTCGCCAGCCAGCAGTCGTTTTTGTCAGCGATGTGGATCTGCTGCTGTCCGCCCAGCTCACAGAGGAGAGCCCAGTAAATCACCTCAAGGCTGAGCTGCTCATACAGCTTGACAGTATTCTGACCTCTGCAGAAGACAATGTTCTTGTGGTCTGCTCTACCAGCAAGCCTGAAGAGATCCCAGAGACTCTACGGAGGTACTTTACTAAGCGATTGCTCATTCCCTTACCCGATGGAACTGCACGCCATCAGATAATCAGCCAAGTGCTCTCACAGCACAACTACTGTCTTGGTGATAAAGAGATGTCCCTATTGGTTCAGAGGACAGAGGGGTTTTCAGGGCTAGATGTAGCCCAGCTGTGTCAGGAGGCTCTGGTTGGTCCTCTCCACGGCATTTCTGGTGCAGACCTTTCCGGCATCCACCCCAGTCAGATGAGACCAGTCTCATACCAAGACTTTGACAATGTATTTTGCAAATTCCAGCCCAGCATATCACAAAAAGAGCTTGATGTGTACACCGAGTGGAATAAAATGTTTGGTTGTAGTCAGTGAAAGAAACCCAGCTAAAACAGTTTCTAATTTGTTGCATACACAAATCAGTGTTTCGTCTTTACTGAAGAGAAAGACGGTGGTGAAATGAACTTACTATGTAAAGAATGGGGAATATCCTTAAAGGCTTCAGACACAAGATAGCAGTCTGGACGTTGCACAATGTTAAAAATCAACACATTTTATTTAACTGCACCTCTTTGTTCATTAAAATAACCTACAAAGGATGCCCCGATCAGTTTTTGTGTATAAATATATATAAATACATATATATATTCTGCTGATTTTGAGATTTTGTTGCTATCAAGTGCCTGGGATGGTGCTGTTTAAGTTTCTTTCTTTGGCGTCACAGTTTTCAATGGTGATTTGTGCTAAAAAAAAAAAATTAAAAAACAACTCTTTACAATGTGACAAAAAACAATTTTTTTTTATTTCTTACTTTTATCCGGGCAGTGTTTTCCAGTTGTGTCTGTTTTGTGCTTACTATGAACTGGTGTGGGTAAGTTGAGCTGAATTAAATTAATCATTAGAATTTTCATGCAGCTTCATTACATCACACGTTTAATGCATGTGTACGTTTTTTGGTAACAACTAAATTGACTTTTTTTTTCTTTAAGTAAATAACGTGTTTTTTAATAGACTTACCCTGGCGTTCCATCGGATGTGTAAGCATTGTATAACGTCCAATGAGCATAATACGCTAGGCACTGTTTTAGTCAACGGGTGAGTTCCACTGTCCGCAAAATTAGAGTGTCTTGGACACATCCCAGAAACGTAGCGTTGCTCTGCTAAATTTACGCTTGAGGTCTAGTTTGTACTTCCAGATGTTAGTCGTCAGCGATTCATATCTGACAAGAAAGGATGTCAAAGACAGGAGCAGTGTAATGCATTTGGCAACATTCAAAATAAAAGTCTGGTGCAGATTTCAAATTTAACTAGAAAATAAATGTCATTATCTGGGACACCTTCATGACTGGACAGAAAAAAACAACAGACCTTTTGGATTCATGTTGTTGTCTTTCAGCCAGAATCACGCATGACCAGCTACGTGGATTGTTTTCACCGTTGATTCGCATCTGAAATGTTCCTAGTGGGCAGGGACGCACCATTGAGCTTGTGGGGAATGCATGTCTATTACGTTACACGAGGCAATTATATCACATGAGACAATTAACTTAAACGAGACAATTACGTAACACGAGACAATTACATTACACAAGACAATTATGTTACATGAGAATGATGTTACGCAAGAAAGTTAATTTACACGAGGCAATTACGTTACACGAGACAATTACGTTAGATGAGACAATTACATTACACAAGGCAATTACTTTCTCAGGAGACAGTTACCTTACACGAGGCAATTACTTTACACGAGACAGTTACTTTACACAAGGTAATTACGTTACACGAGATAATTACATTACACGAGGCAATTGCGTTACGCGAGGTTTACACATCCGGTGGACAGCTGGGGTCACATGTATGATGTTTTCTTTTGATTCAAAGACAAAAAGAAAACAAAGTGATTCTGATAATGTCATACACTAACTAGCAAAGAAGGAAGTTCATCGTATAATATTCTGCCTTTTTTCAGTTTTTTTTCTTCTGTTTTATATTTGAAAACTCAGGAATGTGACGATGACATGTCCAATACCTCAGAAGCTTGAATCAAAGCAAGAAACATTTGGCTCACATTTGAAACCGCATCATCAATACACAAGAGGCTTTTATAATGCCTCAAAAATCTCACAATGAGAAGGTTCCTATGATGAATGTATGAGGGTAATTGTGGTTTATGTGCAAGTCTTAAAATCAATTTGTTTCGGATTCTCTACCTTTTGAGTTCATTTGAAATGAAAGCTTGTATTATGATCCGAGATTTGCCTTTGAAAATAATAGCACCGTTGTGTAGGTTGAACTGCAGCCTTGAGGATTTTTCTTTCTGTTTAAAATTTCATTCATTTTCATTTCCCGCCAGCTATAAAATGGAAAACATTCATTTACATCAAACACAATGATCCAGTTGTTTAATTCCATGCTTTCAGACAGAACTGTTCAGCTTGTGGTGGTACAGTGTTGAGAGAAATTCAAAAGGTGTAGACAAGCATCTTGAGGTTGAGGAAGACAGCTGCCCCAAGCTATTTGCTCCATCCTGCTGCTGTTTTATCATTAATGAAACATAAGGATTATGTTCAGCCTAAATTCCTTTCTACCTCGCTTTGTTTGTTATCTGTGAAAGACAAATTCACAAAGACGAAAATGTCCGCACTCACCGAAATGCTATATGAAAACACCAAACTGAATACTTTTTTTTGTGTGCAAAATCTATAGCTTTATGTTTAGATGACCTGGGATTTTTCAGCACATAATGCACTTAAAGGGGAATACCACTGAATAGTAACGCCTTTGCCTTAGGACAATTTGGTTTTATCAGCTAACTCTTTCACAGATCTATGTTAAATGCATAGACATGTTTTAGGTCTCTCAATGATGCTGTGTGCACATTTTCTGTCTTTAAAGTATTTCAATGCAAAGTTGACACAAGAATTGGTTTGACCTCTTTAAAGAATTCATGAAACCAGTGGCAATCCTTTTTAGCAACATGCCTTGAAGGTCGTTCTTGTATTTTTATTTTTTTAGTCATTCCTGTGTTATTAAAGCCTCTTTGCTGCCATTAATTTGAAAATTTTCATGCAACATTTCCCTCAACATAAGAGCCAAGCCTGAGAGCTTAATTGGCAACTAAAAGCATTGAATGTATTATTTCATGAGAGCTGTGAAGAAAGCAAAGCCCTCTTGTATTGAAACATGCCACTGAAGTAGAGTACTGTAGTTGCATGAAAACTGTAGAGGCACAAAAGAATTTTATTCAAGAAGGTCCTTTTTTTTACAGTTTTCTTGACTGATGAATACACTTTCATTTATTTTTTATTTAAGCATTCTCCTATTACTGAAACCAGTTATTTTTTCTAAGATCAACATTTGCATGTTTTAGATTACAAAACGCAGTATTTGAAATCGCTTGAGGAAGGATCTGCAAATGCTACATTTTCTTTTAAAGAACAATATTTGCCAATTAACAATAGGACCATTTGTCATAGTGTCTAATATGAGTGCCTGTATGTTTCTTTTATTGTTTTGGTGGAGGTAACTATCTTTACCGGTGTCACATGTATTTTGATCTATGTTGAACAAAATTTGATCACCCAAATAGGCAAATAATAACAATCTTTCATGTTTCAGAAATTGTTCAAAATAATAGGTTATAAGAATATTGTAAGTTTCAAATTTGGACATTAACAATTTTAATTCAAAATAAAAAACTTGCATTTAGATTGCCTGATTTAACACAATTATAATTTTAAAGCTAAACATTTTTCTATTTTAACCGAGGTATACCATATTTCTTTCAATGTTGCTGAAATTGTGAATTTGGGGTCTTCTACTGACAATCAGTGTCAGTAGTCATTGTTTCAAACCATTGAACAAATATGTGGTTATTATTTCTTCAGTTTTTTTATTGCTAATCCCTTTGTTTTAACGAGCAAGTTCACTAAAAAAACATTGTTTACATGTACTTTTTGAAATGGGATTGGTCACTCTGAATTTCACATGCAAAATAAATGTGAAAGTAGTCCCTACACCTATTTCTTGCATTAGAATGTGATAGAAAATAGATGGGGAAATGCTTGGATTAGAAAAGCCTGACAGTTATGTCCAACACATTCACATTCTCACACCCTAAGCGTCGAAAAATGACGCGTAGGGTGCCCATCTTAACCTCAACCAGCTTGCACATGCAAAGCTTTGTTTCGCGTTTCATCGTTCATGTCAAACACACTTAACGAAAAATGTTGACTTACATACTGGGTAAAGGTTAGGATGGGGCTGAGGGGAATATCAAATCGCTAGAGGTTAGAGGTGAAACGTCCGTGAAATGTCCGTTTTAGTGTCAGATACCGACGCTCTGGCACAGCGCGTCGTCTCCAGACACGCAGGGGCACCCTATGTGTAGGAAACAAATGCTTGGTCACACTGCATCATTTTTTTATGCTTAGGGTGTGAGAATGGGTTCTGTCACACTGAAAATTAGCATTCATGGATTTATCCATCTTGACTTGTGATGGGGATGGCTGGTGTTTATTTAGCGTCCAGGAGAGAGCAGAGTGCATTGAAGTTAGTAGAAGCTAACCGTTAGCATTAGCAACTCCACAACAGAACTCCTTTGGGCTTGTGTTATTTGTGGAGCTAAAACATCAACGTTGCAAAGCAAACAGTGGAAGAGATGCTTTTCTGTTAGCCAAGACTTCAAATCCTGTCGTGCATTTCTCTCCTCTCCTCTGGCTAACTTCTACTTCCTGAAACAGGAGCGCCAGACCTTTTTCCCCACAGAGATCGACTCACAAGAACTAGACTAGAGACCACTGCGTTAAAAAATGAGTGAACTTGGTCTTTAATTAATAAAACTCAAATAAATGTCACAGATCTTGACAGAAGATGACACAAAAGTTCTACTTATTGATAGAATTGTTTCACCTCTTTTTTCAGAAGGCATTAAAATTCCCTAAGTGGCATCGAAAAGCACATATTTTAAGAGGATAAGCAGAAATATTAGTTGAAGAGGGTAACGTGCTCATATCAGCACTTATAGTAACCTTACAGACAATAAAGTTCACATCAGAGAGTTTTGTTTGCTCTCAGACACAAGTTGTGCTTTAATGGTTTTAAGACTCATGACTGTCGAAATATTTGAAGATTTACCGAGACAAAGGTATTTTTTCTCATGTTTTAGCTGTTTTCATTATTACCAGACATTAATAACCAATGGCGATGTTAATGAAAGGACCTAGAGTCAAAAACAACACTTGAGCAGAACCTTTGAAAAGCACATCGAGTCTCAAAGTGAAACTGGCTTCCATCACTTGAATTGCAGTTTTCAGTATTTCTGTAACTACATGTATTGTTGAGAACGGCTTAAAATGTTTATTCTAATCCAGTTTTAAAGTGTGGCGTCCTTTATAGCCATTTCTACCTCATTGCTGCATATTGTACTCGTATGTTGTTTCATTTTGAATGTCTTGCTTTTGTGGGGAGTTAAAAGTTAAAACAACAGAAAAAATAAGACAGAAATAAAGCTTGTCCTTGAATCTGAGCAGTCTACCTCAGAAAGACTGTCTTTTCCACTGTCAAGTACAAGTTCCAAAAAAAAGCACCTTTAAGACAAAGATAACCTGCACATACTGACATACAGTTAACTTCTCATTGAGTTGTTGTGGACAGTATTTTCTGCGAGTTTTGCAAAAAAAAATTAAATGGATGAAAATAAGACAAAAAAGAAATTGCTTTAATCCTCTGTGAGTTGTTGTAGTGCCATGTTACTGTGTATGTACGGCAATTCTACATGCAAGTGTGAGGGGTATGAATTTTTACTTTTCCTACACATGTAAAGAAAATGAACTTGCACATAGCTGTATATACTGTACATTTGCTACTGATAAACAGCATAATGCACCACATACCTGTTTATATATGTGTATGTATTGCCATTATTACAGTACAGTCGACTTAATTGTATTTTAATTTTAAGGTACATAAAAGTTAATGAAAAAACTGAATAAAGTTGTTTCCTCTCTTTTTTTCCTTGAACTCTGGGCGGGCTTTGTGTCTTTTTGCTTGTAATTTAGGAGCACAAGCAGTGGCAAAGACATCTCACATGATTAAATCTTAATTTCTTTACTGCTCTGGTAGTTTCTGGTGTTAAAAATAAATATAATAGAAAGTAATTACTTTCTATGTTGTCATTACACGCCCCTCAATAATAACAGAACCTTATGAAGCCAATTTTTAAATTAGAAAATGGAGCGCCACATGTAAAAATCCTCTTTCATTAAGCTGTAGGTTGTATGTGTGTTTGAAGTTTCTGTGCAATTAACTTAAATGAGAACAGGAAGAGCGTTAGAAATTATTACCTTTTGTGTCATGTAACTCAGTATAATTCATATATGGAGTTAATTTTAAAAGTGAGCCTATTTGTGTTATTTGATTCCAAATGACGAATGCAGCATTTCAAATATAAATAATAAAATAAATAACTAACTTTGCATCTGGTGAAACATTGTGTTTAATAACAATTTACAAGGGAAATAATATATTTTTTTTTAATTATTTTTAATTATTTGTAATTGCTTTAAATAAATATTTGAGTTTTACCTGATTTAAAAGCTTGACTGACCATGTAAATTGAGAGATAGGTTCAATAAAACTATGTTTTTGTGTTTCCTAATACTTTTCTAAAGTACTTTTTAAGACTAGGTCCCTTAAGGGTTTGAATTTACTTCCTGGGAACTTTATTTACTTTAAAAATGAAATAATTTAGGCCAGAAGTGGAACTACTCTCAGTGAAAAAGGCCTAAAGTTATACAAAGAGACTTTAATGGATTTCAATATTGAATACTGAGGTGAGTTGGAAAAAAATAAAAAATAAAAACTCATAGAAATGTTACAGTTCATTCTAATATGAGACATTTCTCACTTATATTTTTGTTTAGTATTATAACAGAAAATGTATTCTAACTTTGAGCTGACTATATTAGTTTTCTAAAATTTTCTAAACAACAGATTAGAGAACATCTTTGACAATTTAGTGATTTCACATCAATAATATCTGTTTGTCTTGTTTAAAAACACCACATATAAAATGTCAGCCGATTACTCCTAAAAGTTTGCACTGAGTGGAAAGCGATTAAAACAAAGCTTTTGGACACGTTTTTCTTCATTATGGGGCAATAATAGATGAATTAAGGATCCAATTTTTCTCCTCCAAAAACTCCTGAAGGTTTTTCTTTTAATTATTATTTATTTTGTTTGCATTTTTAAATTGATCCAGCATGCATGATTACACAAGAAAACAGAACTGAGTATATTTTAGCCCTATGACCTTCCACAATGTTCATTTGGTAGTTTATTATAGGCTCAGGCATTACTGATTATTGCTAAATGATGAGTGAAATTTTTCATACAATCATATATTTTATAAATGCCACAACTTGTATCTGTAGACTTGAATTGCAGTAAACATCTTTATTGTAGATTTTGAGACAATTTCATGGCATTATTGTTATTATTATTATTATTATTATTATTATTATTATTATTATTATTATTATTAACAGCAATGATGAGAGGAAAAACAAAGTTGCTTCGAACAAATCACTCAAGTTATTAGTGGCTATTTTGTAAATATCAAAGATCCACTTGTCCCAGCGTTAGGTGCTTCATTTGCATTCTGATGAAAGTGGAGTGGATGTGTGTGAACTCGGAGGTTATCTGTGGAGCCGCAGCGCCGAGCAGCCGAATCAGACAGCTCCGCAACCGCACGGCTCAAGAGGATGAGCCACAGACCTCTCTCAAATCACTTCCTTCATAACAATTAAAATATGCAAAGTGATAATTTTCCTTAAGTAGCCTTAAATGTGCAATCTATTTAAATGTGAAGGAAATTGCTTGAAGCTTGCAGTATGTGTGGTAGGTGGTGTGCTGGAGGGGGGTGGGGGTGAGGGGGGATAAATTATGCAAATAACAAAAAGGACTCTTGAAAGCCTAATTTTTCCGTAATAAGCATAGTGTTTCTTTTAATTTTTTGCTTCTTATTATAAGTGACAGTTCTTTTGCTGTGTCTGATGGCTATATCTGACACAAGCTCCTAAAGCTGACTGCTGGACTAATGGTAAAGCATTTTTGTAGCTTTTAGATGATGGTTACATTCACAAAGTAATTATGCACTGGAGAGTCCAGAAATAAGGTTTAATTACACAGTAATCGCTTCTGATGGACACCAGGAAGTGTGAGCACTACCAGACTGCAATCCATCAATGACAAACCTCTGGCCAGTTTTAATTCCTCCTCATTTGCATCATAACCTCGGCTCCAAGTTGCACAAACGCTGTTGAACGTTAATAGGACCTGTCTCTCCACTCAAAATGAATGCTTAAGCCATTTCAATTCTCCTTTTCTCTCTATCTTGTTCTTTCACTCCACCCTCTCGCTCACCCTTATTTCCTTCAGAACACTCACATACACACACTCAATCTCGCACGGTCCATATCTCGTCTCCCTCGCCTCAATCCTCACATCCTTGCAAGTCTTTACATAAATAGACCCTCTTCAGAAGGGAAGCTGAGCACAGAAGACAGTGCACGGTCACTGCTGTGCTAATTGGGAGCAACATGTAAAGTTTTATCTCTTGAGTGCTAACAAACCATACGGACAAGTATAAATTCCAGCCTTGTGTGTCTGTCTGTATCATTTAAAGAGGCTGTGTGTTCATCTCACGTGGGCTGCGGAGCACTAAAGGTTTGCTCACTCTAAATGGGGGAAGGCCCTGAAGTTACCTCAAGCCTGAGAGACGAGACACAATTATGTTTTTATTAATTGAAAACTGTTATTGATGTGACGGACCCATCTCTCCTCCCCTGAAGACTTTCATAAGGTTGATTTGAGCCACAGTGTTTCATTATCACCCTGCCTCATTCAAACTTATCCCTGCATGCAAACGAATATTTGAGAAATAAATGACATCTCACCAAAGGTGGACATCAGACCCACTGGGACACTTGTGTAAACATGGCAGGCTGCTTTTATTTATCATAGTAACATGAAAAACAGCACATTTTGTGCTTCAGTGGTCCCTCTGCAACACCAAACTCGCCTTATACACGTATTATTATGACATGACCTTGGCAATCCCCAGACATTTGAAGCTATTTCATCTTCATAAGGAAAAATAATGAGGTGCTCAAAAAATACGCATATATATATGTAAGTCAAATGGTGATCTGTGAAAATAATTAGTGCATGTTTCTTCTGTTAGTTCAGAAACTACAGAAACTGCCAGTTTCACTATTGAGATTTTTTGTTGTGCACGTGTGTGTGTGTGTGTGTGTGTGTGTGTGTGTGTGTGTTCTGCCACTTTTTGTTATTGTTAAAATAAAATTGCTTAACTATTGATTGCAGACAGATTTATTATTAAATAAGATGAAGTGCCAAATGTGAACAAACCTTCAATTAAAAAAATAATGTGTAAATGTGCATTTATTAAGGGGCTCATCGATGGGGTGTGTAGTTTAGAATTTTTTTTTAAGTAGCTCAGCAAATGCCTAAATTTTACTATATTACCATGCTCTATGAGGTTATCCAATGTTACCTGCAAGTCCCATTGGTCTGTCCTTTATGCGAGTCTCAAGAGTTTACCAAAAGATTTGCCTATTCACAAGAGGGACCTGGTAATCGACAAGAATGAACCACAGTCATCTTTGACTACCAACGAAGAAGAAAAATAAAAAGTCGGAGGTTTGCAACCAAACAATTGAATATATTGATTCCTCTGCGGCCTTCCACTTCTCAAAACAAAACGGTTTCAAAATTCTTCTGAAAAACTCGCTGCGAGAAGTTTATGGCAGTGGAGTGAAATTTATGTTAGAGACACTTTTTAAAGATTTTGGGACTTTTGTGACGTACAAGGGCTAAAACTGATAAAGAGTTTGCAAACGTTATGGATCACAGCTTTAAAGTGACAGTGTGTATTTTTTCTGGCGATATGGGGCAGTAGATACTTAAATCTTTGCAAGCAAGCTGTATTTTTGTGTTGGAGTAAGACCTTACCAATGGATGCCCATTGGGGTCAAAAAGCCCGGGGGAGTGCAAATTTCAGCTAAATGACAAGCACATCAGACTCCCTTTCATCACTGGCAACAAGTGAAGTTGCAAATGTGTTAAACAACAACGTTTATGAAAGATGGAACTTTGTAGCCATTTGTTACAAATCAGTAAATGCATTTTGTCCTCAAGGGCTCCCGTAGAAGGAAACATGACGTCTAATATGGTGTCGCCCAGAGACTTAGACCCGCTTCCATGTATTATAGACCTGATTTTTATGGTTGTATTTTATGAAGCCACCAATATTTTTCAACAACTGAGCAACATTTATTAGATTTTCAACAACATTTTGATGGATATTTACAGAGATTAACAGTAAAAACTACACATTGTCACTTAAAACAAGTCAAAAGTAAATCCAATTGTTTTTCCCAGTAGTTAAAGCAAAAGTATGTGGAATACTGGCTTTGATTTTGTAGAAAATGTTTATGAGAACTGGTTTGGACTACGCTGTAATAAGCGTATGTACACTGTCCAGCCAAAAAATACGTCACCACCTGATTTAACTAAGCAAATAGGTAGGAGCCTCCTACGGGATAATTACTGCATGGGCAATTATTTTTCAGCTGGTAACAAGTTATTTAACCCCAACAAGTTCAATGAGTTGCTTCTCATTCCTTAACCCCTTGATGCATGAACTATGAAATCTTCAACCACGATTAAAAAAAAATTCATTCGTCTTTAGGTGTTAATAAAACAAATTTCAACAAATAGTTTTTTGTAAAATTTTAAAATTTACAAACAATTTATTACTTGTCCACCTCAGTGGACAGTGTGCATTCTGAGCATGAAATGTGTTGGCTAGGCTTACTGAAGTCCAAATGGAGGGGCTCAAATGCAATAAAGTCTTCAACATCTGTGCTTAATAGCAAAAACAAATGAATAACAATTTTGAGTACCTGTCC